GATTTTGCTTTCCTTTTTGCAAAGTTTCAAAGCATTCCTAAACTATAAAATATACATTATTTGTAAGTAAACGAGTTTGTACACGCCTATTTTGCTATACTTCTAACCCATACCCCAAAACTCACCGAAAAAGTTTAATCGAAGCCCACAAGGACAATTTGGAATTTTAGTAAAATTATATAAAATAGTATACACATAATTTACCCATAAATCATAGAGAACAAATCTATAATCAAGTTCCTAATCTTGATGCTTCATATATAAAATAGTATATACATAATTTACCCATAAATCATAGAGAACAAATCTATAATCAAGTTCCTAATCTTGATGCGTCATATCCCAACTCTCATATTTCTTAGATTCAAATCTAGGGTCAAGTCTCATTTTCTCCAAATAACATAAATCTAATGGTATTTATATAATACAATACACCTAATATTAAATTACCTATCACAATGTGTCAAAACATGAATCGTAATGTGATAACTAAAAATAAATACAAATAAAAAGAGGAACCAACTAGTTCTGGAAAATATACCGTAATGAAATTGCAATTTCTCTATTCCACTAACATATCCCATCTTAGCTCATCATTACTCATGATTTTACCTAGCAACAATTTCTTTCTTGATTTAATCAACAAATGTAAAGAATCACATTGCAACATCTCCAAAAAAAGTTCAAAAAAAATCAATTTCTCCCCTTCCCCCCCCCCCCCCCCACCCAACATATATATGGCTAAATCAATGTATGCAGAGACAACATTACAACCTAACTGAAATTTTCTTACCTGGAGAGTTGTCACTCTTCGTTGCTATTGCCCCAACAAAGTCTTGTTTAACGGCTGCTCTCTTCTTCTCTTCTTCTTTTTTTCTTCAAAAAAAATTTCTTATGAACGAGAAAACCTAAATTTCACTATTTATTTTTACATATGGGCCAACTGACATAGGGCATATATACTTGACCCATTAACAATAACCTAAATTAGTTATTTAAAGGAATACTCATCAATTAAATAAATGTAGTTAAATAAATAGTTTAAAATTCCTATTTAAAATTTACGGGAAGGGTATTTTATAAAGATAAAAAAAGGAAGAAGAAATAGTTCTACTACTCAAAACAATCAAACGAGTCGTTACAAAATTGAACTCTCTTTTAGTGGTTAAAATGATCAATGAAATTATAAAACTACCATTGAGAATTCAAAGAATTAGTGAAGAGATCATATCTAAGATTGTCCAATGGAACATAAAAGTTAAACATTGTTAGAGGAAGGAAATGAAGTTGCAAATGTATCAGCTAAACAAGATAGACTTATCTAGGAACCCACTATTGTTCTACCTTTTCTAAATAAGAGGTCTACCGATTATTGAAAATGGATTAACTGAGAATGAACAAGCTTCAACTACCTTCATTCAGAAGAAAAAAAAGTACAAGTTGGTACTTAGACACCCCATGATTTCTACTTTCTGATTAGATCTGTTGGTTGTCTTGGTGTGGTCTGAGTGCATTTAGGTCCCCTTTTTTGTTATGTTGGAAGATCTTTGGATCATTACTCTAAATAGGAGGAAATTTATTTTCTTTCCTAATATGTAAAATCAGGTAAGGTACTATGTGATTAGAACTCAACTATTATAACACCCCGAAAATTTCTAAGCTAAGACCCAAACTATTCTTCATTAACATAAAAGGTCACGTCGGGTGATTCGTAAATTGCCCGTATTTTTAAAGGTAAACTGTTTAGTGTGGGAATGATTTTGGATATCAATTAAGGTCACTAAAAACTGTTAGCACAAAGTTAATTGAAAGTTTTCTTACCGATTAAGTTTTGATATAAGATTTTACTTGGGTCAACTTTAAACGACCATATCTCTTAGAATATAAAGAGTTACGTGTCCCATAAACTATCAAATTAAAGGTATTTGAATCTTCTTTCCAACGCCTCCAATTTCGCGTCAATCCCAGTTTCGAGTAAAGAGTAATGACTATTTTAGTAACCTATTACAGTGTAGTGATGAATTAGCCGACAAGAAAACATTAAAAAGAGTCACTTTTGTCTTTTTACCTCTAAGAAAATCCTAAACGAATTTCTTGACTAATTAGAGACCCAAAACAATCAGATTTTCATCTCTTAATCCATCATTTATTCTCTCTCAAACTCTAAAGCAAAACCCTAAGGAAAAATAAAAGTAGAAGACTCTATTCAAGATTCTTTCAATCTTTTTCAAGATTCTTTCTATCTTTTTCAAGATTCTTGTTCAAGGTAAGTCTTTCTCCAAGAATTCCATTCTTTCCAACTCAAATTCCTCCATACAATTATGAGTCACTAATGAAAATCATAATTCTTGGTCATAGAGTTTCAAGAAACTAATTCAAGAAATCTTAAGAAATGTTTTCTTCATTTTTCTTCTTCAAGCTAGGGTTTCAAGGCATCTAATCAAGTTCTTCTTCAAGATTCTTCAAGAAACTTGTTCTTCAAGGTATGTAAGGCTATCAAAGTGTTGGAATAGTTTGTCCCCATGCCCTACATCTTGTAACACCTCAGAATCTAGTAGACTAAGCAAAGGTGCTAAGTGAAAAGTCACAAGGCAAGGATTTGAGCCTGGGCACCCTCCACGAAGGCCCAAACGGGGTGTGAAGGAAACCACGAGACGTGGTGTTGCCCGTGAAGGCTCCCAAAGTCTAGCCAAAAAGGGCTTCCCTCCCACGAGCACCTAGACGGCTCGTGGAGGGAACCATGTGTCATGGTGAAGCCCGTGAAGGGGAGGTAGCAGCTGCCTAGAATCTGACCCTCCACACGAGCCACTTGACAGCTCGTGGGAGCCAAAATGGCTCTTGGAATGAGTCGTGATGGAAGGTCAGTTTTTGGGATGGTTTGCCAAGCCCCTGGTAAAGGACCATAACTGCAACAACGGGTCGTGTGGTCCTTGATGGCTTGTGAAGCCAGGCGTGTGGGAGTCAGCTGTAAGTTCAAGGGCAGTTAGGTCTCTTTCTAATTATTTTTTATTGATGTTATGTCATTTTACCCATGCCTAGGAGCCCTATATAAGTGATTTTAACCCCAAAACTTACCCATTCAATTCATTTTATTAAATTTTCCAAAAGAAATTGGGTTCTTCCTCTCTAAAATAATTCTCTCTCTAGAAACTTGAAGAAGAAGAAGGGTTGAAGCTACGACTCAAGGTCAAGTATCCATTCTCCAATTGTTTGTGGGCTTTGATAGAAAGGTATGATAGCTTTTCATCCATGGAATCCTTGCATCCATGGAGCCCCTAAGTTCTCCCAATTGAAAAGTAGAAACTCCCCAATTTGAGTTAGGGTTTTCTTCTAAGTAATGGGTCTTTATGAATGTTGATTTGATTGATTGAATTAAGGTTGATTCTGCATGAATTGAGAGGATTCTATGTTTTTTATGATGAATTTACATGTATCCATGCTTAACCCATGTTTCTAAGATAAAATTGATGTAAATGGGTTTTACTCTTTGAAAGGAGAAATAATGGATTTTTGTGCATTCTTATAGGATAAATAAGATATGATAAGTATTGTTTCGAGATTGAAGCATATGTGATGATTATGATATGAATTGCATTGAGAGTGAAGCATATGTTATGAACGGTTGATTATTGATGTAATTTTTGTGGAAGGGATCTTTCCCACATGATTTTCTTATGTATGAATGTGAAAGACATTCTCACATTGAATGATTCTAGGTTGAAAGGATTGTTCACCTAAAATGAATCTAAGCTTAAGTACTATGAATGTGATGAGGCTAAATGCGATTAACCTTGACCTCTAATGAGAAAAATATGAGGTGATTACCCATATTCCTTAGAGTCGGACTAGAGGTGAATACCCATGATCCTAATTAAATGACAAGAGGCGACTACCCATGTCATATGATAGAAAGACAAGAGGTGAATACCCATGTCACATGATGTAGGGACTATATGCAACTACCCATAGTAAGATGGAAAAGAGACGACTACCCACAATCCTATAGTAAGAGGGACATGAGGAGACTACCCATGATCCTAAAATAAGAAGGGCTAGAGGCGATTACCCATGTTCCTTTATAGTAAGGCAAGAGGTGATTCCCCATGTCTTTAAAAGATAAGCTAGGATATGTTATGATAGGTGATGAACTTGGATTTTTGCTTGAGTTTGTCTTCAATGATGAGTAAGAATAGTGGCAGATTACACATTTCTTGACTAAGTATGAATTGAGGTTACTTCAAGAAGTACTCCTTATATGTGAAATAATCTATTATGTGCATTGATTATGCTTTATGACTTATGTTGTCTAACTCTTATGTGATGTTTATGCAAGCTATCATATTTAGTACATTTTTGTACTAATGTATACTCTTGCATACATTTCTCATCCAAATGTAGGGTCCGACGTTCCCGATTCTCATTCTCACGGCTAGGATCTATACTAGAAGAAGAAGTTGACGATTGGTGAGTCCTTATTCATCCAATTATATGGCCACTACTCCTTATGTTTTTTTCATCTTGAGTTTTGAACATTGACGTTGGCTTGTGTCCCAATATTCTATTGAATTAGATGGTTTTTGAGTCAAGTGTATTAGACTTCCGCTTCATTTTATAAAACTTTGGTTATGTTCAAAATGTTTTAAATCTTATTGATTTTATATTATCTTGACTATGTATGCTAAGTGGCTTATATAAGGCCTCTCGGGGTCTTGTATGCAATTTTACATCTAGGGGGTGCCCTTGGGTCCGGACAAACTTGGTAATCAGAGCACAATGTTTATAAAGGTTCTAGGATGTCTCAAAACCATGTCTAGTAGAGCCTTGTTCATCAGTGTAAAGCTTGTCACATTTATGAATGAGAGGCTACAAGATGTTTAGGAAACTACACTTCTTCATTACTCTAAGTCGTGCGATAGAGTTTAACTCTACAAGGTCTCTCTCCTAATCTTTACCCGATGGTCTACAAGATATGACTACTCGAAGGGCTTATGCTAGAAGAAATGATGAGAACATTTTGGTCGAGAGCTCCTCAAGCTCTGGTTGACCCTTTGGTCGAGCAAGTGACTAATGCGGAGTTTAGGACTGCTTTTCAAGTTTTGGCTCAAGCCGTGATGGCCCAAGCCAATAGGGAGGTTATGGCCCCCGTGAACCCAAATGTAGGTATGACGATATCTATAGTGAGTGATTTCACTAGGATGAATCCTCTAGAATTCTATGGTTCTAAGGTTGAGGAAGATCGTCAATAATTTATTGATGAGGCTTACAAGGTGTTGAATATTATGGGAGTTACTCTGGTGGAAAAGGTGGAATTGGTCGCTTATCAACTTAAAGGTGTTGCTAAAATTTGGTTCAACCAATGGAAGGAAGCAAGACCGGAAGATGAGGGTCCCCTATAGTGGGAAAGGTTCATTTGCTTTCCTTGATAGGTTCGTTCCTCTTGAGATGAGGGAGGCAAAAGTGCCTGTGTTTATCAATATCCGACAAGAAAATATGAGTGTGAAAGAATATGTTTTGAGGTTCACTCAATTGTCAAGGTATGCTCCTTCTATAGTTTCCGACACTAGGGCAAGGATGAGCAAGTTCGTTTCGGGTGTGTCCGAATTGGTGGTGAAAGAAGGTATGCTCCTTCTATAGTTTCCGACGCTAGGGCAAGGATGAGCAAGTTCATTTCGGGTGTGTCCGAATTGGTGGTGAAAGAATGTCATACAACTATGCTTGTCCATGACATGGATATTTCTCATCTCATGGTTCATGCCCAAAAGATTGAAGAGAAGAAACTTAAGCAGAGATCTAGGGAGACAAGAGGGCTAGAACCGGTGATGGTAATTTCTCTCATGCAAGGTCTGATGGATATGGTCATCCTAGGTTTCAACAAAGGTTTTTCGGCAAAGTTCCTCAAATGCTCCTAAGTTCAACAAAGAGAGGGTGTCTAACCCTAAATCTCAAGGAGGTGATAGTGGGTCTTTATTGCCTACTTGCGCTAAGTGTGGAATAAAGCATGAAGGTAAATGTCTAGCGGGTTCCAGTGCTTGTTTTGGTTGTGGTAAGATGGACCAAAAGATCAGTTATTGTCCTTCAGTTGCTAAGAATGAGGGAGATAGTCGTAGGGCTCAACCCAATCCTTCATCCTATCCAAGTGGTCTGGGTTCTAATGTTCCCAAGCAAAATAGGTTATATGCACTTCAGACTCGTGGTGAGCAAGAAGGTTTTCCCGATGTGGTTACCGGTATGTTGAAAGTCGTTCAACTTGATGTTAATTCTTTACTTGATCCTGGGGCTACCTTGTCTTTTGTGACGCAATATGTGGCTATGAGGTTTGATGTGCTTCCTGATGTGTTGTTAGATCATTTTTCTGTCTCTACTTTTGTTGGTGATTCTATTGTGGCTAAGAAGGTCTATTGAAAGTGTCCCATCTCCTTGTCCCATAGAGTTATTCTTACTGATCTGGTAGAGGTTGATATGCTAGATTTTGATGTAATATTTGGTATGGATTGGCTGCACTCTTGTTATGCTTCTATCGATTATAGAACCCGTGTAGTCAAATTTTAGTTTCCAAATGAGCCTATCCTAGAATGGAAGGGGGGAAATTTTATGCCTAAGGGTCAGTTTGTTTCCTATCTTAAGGCTAGAAAGAAGATTTCTAAGGGTTGCATGTACTATCTAGTTAGGGTGAGGGATATGGATTCTGAAACCCGTACTCTTGAGTCGGTCCCCGTTGTTAATGAGTTTCTGGAAGTGTTCCCAGATGATTTACCTAGTATTCCTCCTGAAAGGTAAATAGACTTCGGTATTGACCTTCTCCCAGATACGCAACCTATTTCTATTCCTCCTTATCGAATGGCTCCGGTAGAACTTAAGGAATTAAAAGAGCAATTGAAATATTTGTTGGATAAAGGTTTTATCCGACCAAGTATCTCTCTATGGGGTGCTCCAGTTTTGTTTGTTAAGAAGAAATATGGTTCACTTTGTATGTGTATTGACTATCGGTAATTGAACAAGGTGACCATTAAGAATGAGTATCCTCTTCTGAGAATAGATGATTTATTTGGCGAACTCCAAGGAGCGAGTTACTTTTCCAAGATTGACCTTAGGTCGGGTTACCACCAATTGAGGGTGGAGGGTGATGATATTCCAAATATGGATTTTAGAATCCAGTATGGTCCTTATGAGTATTTGGTGATGTCATTTGGTTTAACCAATGCCCCGGCGGTATTTATGGATTTGATGAATAGGGTATTTAGACAATACCTTGATATATTCATAATTGTGTTCATTGATGATATATTGATATATTCGAGAGGTGAGGATGATCACATCAATCATTTGAGGATTGTGTTGTAAATTCTCGAAGACAAATAACTCTTTGTGAAGTTTAGCAAATGTGAGTTTTAGCTAAAGTTCGTGACTTTTCTTGGCCATAATGTTTCAAGTAAGGGTATTGAGGTAGATCCTAAGAAGACAGATGCGGTCAAAAGTTGGCCTAGACCTTTATCCCCTTTGGATATTAGAAATTTCTTGGGTTTAGCTGGTTACAACAGAAGGTTTGTAGAGGGGTCTTCTTCGATAGCCTCTCCATTAACAGCTTTGACTCAAAATAAGGCCAATTTAATATGGTCTGAAGCATGTGAGAAGATTTTTCAGGAATTAAAAGATAGAATTACTTCCGCTCTGGTGTTGACTTCACCGGAAGAGACAAATTTTTTTGTTGTTTATTGTGATACCTCGAGAATTGGGTTATTATGTGTGCTTATGCCAAATGGGAAGGTTATTGCCTATGCTTCAAGGAAACTTAAGGTTCATGGGAAGAATTATCCTACCCACGATATTGAATTAGCGGAGGTGGTTTTTGCCTTAAATATTTGGAGGCCTTATTTGTATGGTGTTCATGTAGATGTGTTCACCGACCATAAGAGTTTGCAATATGTGTTTAATCAGAAGGATCTTAATCTTCGCCAAAGGAGGTGGCATGAGTTACTTAAAGATTATGATATGAGTGTTCTTTATCACCTCAGAAAGGCAAATGTGGTGGAGGATGCTCTTAACCGACTATCAATGGGTAGTGTTGCCCATATAGAAGAGGGTAAAAGAGAATTGTTACGAGATGTACATAGATTGGCCTGATTGGTTGTTCGGTTAATGGACTCCACCAAAGGTGGTGTTGTGGTTCAGAATCATCTTTTGTGACGGATGTGAAAGCTAAGAAATGTCTTGATCTGACCTTAGTAGAATTGAAAGAAGCAGTGCTTAGAAAGTCCGCAGAGGCTTTCTCTCAAGGTGGAGATGGTGTGCTTCGTTATCAAGGTCATTTGTGCGTCCCTGATGTAGATGACTTTAGGGAATAAATTTTATATGAAGCCCATAGTTCACAATATTCCATTCACCCGGGAGCCACAAAAATGCACTATGACTTGTGGGAGATCTATTGGTGGAATGGGACAAAGAAGGATATTGCAGGATTTGTGGCTAAGTGTCTGAATTGCCAAAAAGTGAAAGTTGAACATCTAAAACTAGGAGGTTTGTCCCAAGATATAAGTATTCCTACTTTGAAGTGGAAAGATTTGAATATGGACTTCAAAGTAGGGTTGCCTCGTACTCACCAACAATGTGATTCAATTTGGGTTATAATAGACTGAATGACGAAATCGGCTCATTTCATCCCCGTCAAAGTTTCTTATTCGGTGGAAGATTATGCTAAGTTGTATTTGAGGGAATGGTAAGGTTGCATGCAGTGCCCTTGTCCATTATCTCCGATCAAGGTACTTAGTTTACTTCTCAATTTTGGAAATTTTTCCAAAAGGGTCTTGGTACTCGTGTTAAGCTTAGCACGACTTTTCATCCACAAACCGATGGGCAAGCGGAGTGTACTATCCAAACTTTTGAAGATATGATGAGAGCATGTGTCATTAATTTTAAGGGTAATTGGGATGACCATTTTCCATTGATTGAGTTTGCTTATAACAATAGTTACCACGCGAGTATTGGTATGGCTCCATTTGAGGCTCTCTATGATAGGAGGTGTAGATATCCTATAGGTTAGTTTGAGGTGGGTGAAATTGCATTGATAGGACCCGAATTAGTTTATGAGGCTATGGAAAAAGTACAACTTATGAGAGAGAGGTTGAGGACAGCCCAAAGTCGACAAAAATCCTATGCCGATGTTAGAAGAAGAGATCTTGAGTTTGAAGTTAATCATTGGGTCTACTTGAAGATCTCATCCATGAATGGTGTAATGAGATTTGGGAAGAAAGGGAAGCTTAGTCCCCGTTTTGTGGGTCCATATCATATTTTGAGACGTGTTGGTAAGGATGCTTATGAGCTTGAGTTGCCTAGTGATTTGGCATTGGTGCATCTGGTTTTCCATGTCTCTATGTTAAAGAAATGTGTTGGAGATTCGACATCTATAGTTCCCTTAGAAGGTTTGGGAATTAAGGAGAATCTTTCTTATGAGGAACTTCTAGTTGAGATTTTAGACCGGCAAGTTAAGAAGTTGAGAAATAAAGAAGTTGATTTGGTGAAAGTATTATAGAGGAATCAGTTAGTTGAGGGTGCTACTTAGGAGGCCGAGGCCGATATGATGTCTCGATATCCTCATCTTTTTCCTTCTACTCCTACTCTAGCTTGAGTTAATGAGTTCCTCATGGTTTACTCTTTGTTACGGTGTCATGTGTTTTAGATATTCCCATGAATCCTTATTTTTATGCATGTTCACGAAAAGGTTGTGTTTTGAAAGAAAAGTGTTGATGATTGCTCGAGTACGGGGATATTAAATGTTTTTGGTAAGTTTTTGAATGGGAAAATTTATTGGCCTGCTACTATTTCTGGACTAAATTCATCGATTGATTGGTATATTAGTTCTTTTGATTTGGCTGATGAAAAGTGGGGAAAGGTGGAGAAGCCCTGCTCTCAAGAAGAAGGTATTTTTCCGTCTATGGGAGTGTTAGGAAATGATCTTTTGTGTTTTCTTTTAGGGAAAGTCATGCAGATGTGTGGGTTATGAAAGATTACGAGTCCTTGACAAAAATGTATATCATCAAATATCATGTTGATTTTGACAAACTTTTCTTTACTTCTGTTATTCCTCCTGTTATTTCACCGACACTATGTATGTCAAACAAAGGTGAAATATTGATCCTATCTAAATCAACTTACCTGATATATAATCCAGAGGAGGAATAAGTCAGATATACTCATTGTAGTATTGCATCAAACATCTATATTGAAAGCCTAGTTTGTCCCTATTTACAAAATGAACCAAGCACAAGTGAAGGCTGCAGAAGCTCAGAGGGATGACAATGTTATTGGTAATGACTTGTAAGAATTCCGCCTTATATATTTTTCTGTTTCTTTATTACTATAAAAAAAATACTTTGCATATGCTACGCGCACCTTTACATTTCATCTTCTTGAAGATCGTGTTTGTCTTTTTTCTTTTTGGATATTTCCATGAGACAACTATTTAGTTGTTATGTTTGGTGTCTTCAACACTCAAAGTAAATGTCATGGACATTTTAGCTCTTTTTGAGCATTGTTTTAAGGGGATGTTGTGCCTCTAGACAGAATTAGAATATAGCGCGAGGAACATGGAAATCATGGCATGTAATAAACACGCCAATAACACTAAGCATGTCCTTCGGTAGGATTTTATTGTTTGATACAAGGCCTTCATTAATAATCCTCCTTAAATAAAAACTTACTTAATGAGGAAACAAGAACAATGTTAATAGAGTAAGGTCTAATAAAAAGATGATGGTCCAAACCAATAACAGTCTGACACCTCTTGTGGTGACTTGGGAGTGTGCTCGAACTGGTCTTCTGTCATGTAATGTGAGATAATCCAAACCAGCACACTATTTGTTTCAAGGGCTGAACATTTGGATTATCCCAATCATCTTATTGCTCCCACTTGGATTGCAAGCTCATGCTACTGAGCTCAGCGATAAACAATGTTTGTTGAGTTCTTATTAAATATATGTATTCGTCTTCTGCCACCAGTGTGGGACAAAACACACTAAATCCTACGTTGAATGTTTTAGCATATGCGATTTTGACGTACTAGGCATATCATCGCATATGCTAAAACATTTAATGTAGAATTTAGTGTGTTTTGTCCCACACCGGCGGCATAAGATGAATACAAACATTTAATAATAACTCAACAGACACTGTATATTGTTGAGCTCAGTAGCATGATCTTGTAACCCAAGTGGGAGAAATAAGATGATTGGGACAAATCAAAGCACCAGGCCTTGACATAAATAGAGCGTTTGTTTGGGATTATGCGATATTGGTATAGTATGCAGTATTATTATTCCAACATTAATAGTACTTTGACATAGCAGTCATTGGTTGGCTTAACAAAGCAGACGCTCTCGCATAATAACAAATCATCACTGTAGAGAATAGCAAAAGAAAAGTATATTCGGGGAGACCTTCTGCTAGCCTAAGATCGTTAACTAAGATTGAAAGATTCAACTAAAGAAGAGGAAGCTGAAAGGAGAATAAATATTTGGAATGAGAACATTGTTATAGATAAACACTCTTTGATTTTGGTTGTTCTTGGTCTAGGCATATCATCACATATGATAAAACATTCGATATAGAAATTAGTTTGTCTTGCCCAACATCGGTGGCAGAAGACGAATACAACATTTAATTAGAACTCAACAGACAATGTATATCACTGATAAGCTCAGTAGCGTGAGCTTGTAACCCAAGTGGGAGCAATAAGATGATTGGGACAAGCCGAATCTTTAGTCGTTGACACAAATAGTGCATTGGTTTGGGTTTATAATAATAAGAGGTTCTTGGTAATAGTATGAAGTATTATTATTCCGAAAGTATTAAATAAATAATAATAGTACTTTGACATAGCAATAAGCAGTGGGAGTAGATCGGGTGACTCGCCCCTCATTGACTGGCTTAACAGAGCATCTCTCTCACTGTCTCACATTACATGACAGCTAGTCTGTTGCTGTCAAAGACCAGTTTGCCTACACTCCCAAGTAACCACTAGAGATTTTAGGCTATTATTAGTTTGGACCATCATCTTTTTATTTGACCAAAAATTGGACTTCCAAATCCATTCCAATCATATAGGTTTCTCATGGACCGAAACAGTTTTGGATTAGAGTCGACTCTTACGTACTTGAAAGGCAGTTCTCAACAGTAAGTTCAATATTTCCTTAAGTTAGCCTTTAATCCAGAAGCCATATAGAAATGTTAAAACAGAGTTGTATGTATTATATTAAAATTGTCGTGACAAAAGGTTGAATATGCTTCTCCTACGCGTAAAGTCCCTTCATATATATATATATATAGGGAAAATGCATAAGTATCCCCCAACATATGTCCGAAAACTCAGAGACACACTTATACTATACTAAGGACCTATTATCCCCACCAAACTTATTTTATAAATAATTTTCTACCCCTTTTTGGCCTACATGGCACTATCTTCTGGGTCCAGCGCGTGTTGACAATTTTTTCAAGCTATTTGGTTGATAGTGCCACGTAGGCCGAAAAGGGATAGAAAATTATTTATAAAATAAATTTGGGGGTAATAGGACCTTAGTATAGTATAAGTGTGTCTCTGAGATTTCGGGCATAGGTTTGGAGGGTACTTATGCATTTTCCCTATATAATCTAATATATAATAAGCCACAATGCAACTATCATTGTAAAATTATCTTGTTAGCTTTCAACCAAAAGCTAACAAGATTTTTAGTTACATATTTATTATTTTGTTAAATAATAAATATGTCATTTATATATATATTTATTACTCATTCCTTTTGAATTTGTTAATCTGATTTTGATCTGACACATAGTTTACGAAAGTAAATTAGATTTTGACAAAAAACATTAAGTGATACTTGAAGTTGTCCCAGATTTTCAAAGACACCTTAACTTTGCGTGCGTCCTATTACCCCACAAAACATTCAAAATCACAATAAATACACATTTTTTACCCAATATTTCCACTTTGGACAAAAATATCCTTTGAATGTGCAATTTCTTAAAAATAAAAAGTCGGACCCATTATTGATGTATTCAAGGATGCTTTGGTAATTTCCTATTATGAATTCGTTTTGTTTGTTTCTTTTAAATTTATTTTACTATACTAAATAATTCTATAAAATATTATGAATCACGATAATTAATTACTTAAATATTTAAAAGATATAAAAATATATAAAAGATCTGATTGACTCTTCAAATTTTACCGGTGACACATGAATTGGGACAAATGAAATAATATATATTATTTGAAAATTTCTTAGAAAGTATTATAAATTATAGTAATTAACAGCTAGAAATATTTCAAAGACAAAAAAAAATTGAT